GGCGCCATCGCTCCAGCTCCATCTTCSGTGTACCTGCATCAAGGCGCCWGCTTTACAGKTTAGTACTGGACTGAGAGAGAGAGAGAGACCTTCTTCTTCCTCTTCTAAGTCCACCATCTCTTCTTCCCCTCTCGCCGCCTACTTCTCAGTATCTATGGACTACGAGAGAGAGCTTTGACATGAGACTCGACGACATTGGACTCAGACTTGACTTCGGGGTTCAGACATTCGATGAGGATTATTTGGGATCTGTACCGCAGACTTGGGTTGACGACATCTCCCATCTTCTCCTCCCCTCTGTCTCTTCCCCACCTCTTCGTCTGTGTATGACTGGGACTGGAGCTATCTGTTCTGAGCACCAGCCCCTTCACACCATTGTACGATCATGATGTATGTCGAGACTACATTGCAACATTGATTGTGTCGGATCATTGGTATCTAAAGTCTTCCGCTTCGCCATTTGTACTTTGTATGAGAGGTCGGTTCTTGTTATGTCTTGCACGATACAGTATGCAACAGTTTGGTATCGGAGCGGACCTCTCAATCAGAGGACCCGCTTGATCAAGTAGCTAGCTTGCTCGATCTATTGATCTTTTGATTAGTAAATCAGGTAGGCTATGGGCGAAAGGTCTTAGGTTCGATTCCTTGTGGGTTGATCTTGGGATTCTTGTGTATTTGCAAGCGCGCTGAGCCTGTCAGACGCCCTTGCCGTGGCTTGGTTGAGGTGACAGGTGGCCGAAAGGCAGGTTGAGTTGAGTCTGGGTACACCGGGTCATGGATGTACTTCTAAAAAAATACATACCATGCTGGGGTGGGGTGAAATGTCCCTTAAGGGGCTTCACTTTCATCCCAGCTCACTTTTCCGATTGGTTAAGTGTTCCGCCTCTTTGGCGGAAGGTCTTAGGTTTGATTCCTTGTGGGTTGATCTTGGGATTCTTGTGTATTTGCAAGGACTTCGTCAAACCTCTGAAGAAAAAAAAAAAAAAAATTCGCATATCTGAAAATTCGTGATAATGGTATTTCGTTTATCAGGAAAAAATCATGGTATTTGCATTTCGTTTTTTATTCGCAACAACATCTGAAATTTATGGGCATAGCATTTCGTTTTATCTGGAATTTCGATGTTCTACGCAACAAATATCTGGAAGTCCTGGAAGTAACAGTTCGTTTCTCCGATATTAAAAATCCGAATTTCTGATATTCGGTACATAGCCGAAAAATCTCTGACGTAGTATTTCGTTTTCTGGGCATGATAGGATAGCGATAGAAATGGTCATATTCTCGGACACCAAATTTATTCTGTTATGAAAATCGAATCTCCATTCTATCTCGCAAATTTTTTTGTTGTTTTGAAATATGAAATCTTGCGAAACCTATCAGCATGGCATGTTACGCATAGTAAGAGACTGTCATATTCGCAAGAACGGGATTTAGTCCTCTTCTGAAAATCACATTTCTATGCTATTTCGCAAAATTTTTTGAAAACTGAAATCTTGCGGAGCCTATCGGCATGGCATTTTAGGCATGGTCGGAGATTGTCATATTCGCAGGAACGGGATTTTGGTCCTTTTTTGAAAATCGCATCTCTACTGTATTTCGCAAATTTTTTTTTCTCAAGATTGCATTTTGTAAAAGCCGAAACTTTGCGAACCTAGCCTAGATCTCGCTCATAGTACTCTTCTGACATATCTCACTCGTAAAGATCGATAGACATATATATATAATAAAAAAAAAGGAAGTAGTCCTCTTTTATTTTTTTTTATTTTTCTTTTATCTGTTGATTAGGGCCGGAGGAAAGTATTATTGGGTTGGTATCCCTACCTGCGTTTTCCCTCCCACCCACCCCTTTGTCTGCATTTCCGGGTTGGTACAGTGCCACGTCAGCAGTGCCACGTCAAACACAATGCCACGTCAGCAGTGCCACGTCAGACAGTGCCATGTCAGCAGTGCCACGTCAGNCTCTCTCTCTCTCTCTCTCTCTCTCTCTCTCTCTCTCTCTCTCTCTCTCTCTCTCTCTCTCTCTCTCTATCTCTCTCTCTCTCTCTCTCTCTCAAACACACACACACACACACACACACACACACACACGTGTGGCCATTGCGCACATTCTCTCTCCAATCGCATGCGCACTCTCTTCAATCAACAAACCAAGCAACCTCTCTCTCTCTCTCCCTCTGTGTGTGTGTGTGTGTGTGTGTGTGTGTGTGCGGCAAGCACGACAGCCACACCCACACCCACGCAAGCGCATGCGCGCACACAAACACGCATGCATCCACACATGAACGCCCAAGAGGGACGATCGGGTCGAGAGGAGGGGAAGGAGGAGTAGCAGCATCGGGAGGGGAGGGGAAGGCGGATGTGGCATACTGCATGGCCACACGGGCCCTGCAGGGCCCGTCCCGGACTTTCAGCCTAAAAGCCTAAAACTTAGGGCTTGCAGGCCCCGGTCGTTTCAGCCTGAATGCTGAAATACGAGGGCCTGCAGTCCCTATTCCGTTTCAGCCTATTTCTAGGCCTTTCAGGCCCAGAGGTTTTTCAGCCTGAAACGGAGGGCCATTTTCAGGCCCTCATTGTTTCAACCGCCCCTAAGACTCAGGCACGAAAACAGGGTTTCGGGAACAGGCCGGAAATAGCCTGTTCCCCACGCCAGCTCGAGCAGGAGCTGCAGCTGCAGCCCCTGCCTCCGATCGGCATTGGCAAGAGCAGCCTCCTGGACTGCTCGCCTGCAGTCAGGAGGCACCCGCGTAGTACATAGGGAGTTCCCATGCACTTCACGGGTAGGTAGTTGTCACTAGGCGCAGGTGGTCTTCAGGATTCGGCCGCAGGACTCAAAAGGAGCGCTGCAGTAGTCTTCAGCGCTAGGAAGTAGTGGTAGCGCTAGTAGTAGTCTTCGGCGTTGGGCGCCCATAGCCATAGCTGTAGTCTTCAGCGCTGGGCGCTATAGGGATAGGGTAGCAGTATCGGAGAGAGACACTGGCGGAGGCCAGTGGTACTTGCTTGTGGCGCCATCGCTCCAGCTCCATCTTCSGTGTACCTGCATCAAGGCGCCWGCTTTACAGKTTAGTACTGGACTGAGAGAGAGAGAGAGACCTTCTTCTTCCTCTTCTAAGTCCACCATCTCTTCTTCCCCTCTCGCCGCCTACTTCTCAGTATCTATGGACTACGAGAGAGAGCTTTGACATTAGACTCGACGACATTGGACTCAGACTTGACTTCGGGGTTCAAACATTCGATGAGGATTATTTGGGATTTGTACCGCAGACTTGGGTTGACGACATCTCCCATCTTCTCCTCCCCTCTGTCTCTTCCCCACCTCTTCGTCTGTGTATGACTGGGACTGGTGCTATCTGTTCTGAGCGCCAGCCCCTTCACACCATTGTACGGTCATGATGTATGTCGAGACTACATTGCAACATTAATTGTGTCGGATCATTGGTATCTAAAGTCTTCCGCTTCGCCATTTGTACTTTGTATGAGAGGTCAGTTCTTGTTCTGTCTTGCACGATACAGTATGCAACAGTTTGGTATCGGAGCGGACCACTCAATCAGAGGACCCGCTTGATCAAGTAGCTAGCTTGCTCTATCTATTGATCTTTTGATTAGTAAATCAGGTAGGCTATGGGCGGAAGGTCTTAGGTTCGATTCCTTGTGGGTTGATCTTGGGATTCTTGTGTATTTGCAAGCGCGCTGAGCCTGTCAGACGCCCTTGCCGTGGCTTGGTTGAGGTGACAGGTGGCCGAAAGGCACGGGTTGAGTTGAGTCTGGGTACACCGGGTCATGGATGTACTTCTAAAAAAATACATACCATGCTGGGGTGGGGTGAAATGTCCCTTAAGGGGCTTCACTTTCATCCCAGCTCACTTTTCCAATTGGTTAAGTGTTCCGCCTCTTTGGCGGAAGGTCTTAGGTTTGATTCCTTGTTGGTTGATCTTGGGATTCTTGTGTATTTGCAAGGACTTCGTCAAACCTCTGAAGAAAAAAAAAAAAAAAAAAATGCATATCTGAAAATTCGTGATAATGGTATTTCGTTTATCGGGAAAAATCATAGTATGTGCATTTCGTTTTTTATTCGCAACAACATCTGAAATTTATGGGCATAGCATTTCGTTTTATCTAGAATTTCGATGTTAGTCGTTCGATTCTACGCAACAAATATCTGGAAGTTTTGGAAGTAACAGTTCGTTTCTCCGATATTAAAAATCCGAAATTTCTGATATTCGGTACATAGCCGCAAAATCTCTGACGTAGTATTTCATTTTCTGGGCATGATAGGATAGCGATAGAAATGGTCATATTCTCGAACACCAAATTTATTCTGTTATGAAAATCGAATCTCCATTCTATCTCGCAAATTTTTTTGTTGTTTTGAAATCTCAAATCTTGCGAAACCTATCAACATGGCATGTTAGGCATAGTAAGATACTGTCATATTCGCAAGAACGGGATTTAGTCCTCTTCTGAAAATCACATCTCTATGCTATTTCGCAAAATTTTTTGAAAACTGAAATCTTGCGGAGCCTATCGCCATGGCATTTTAGGCATGGTCGGAGATTGTCATATTCGCAGGAACGGGATTTTGGTCCTTTTTTGAAAATCGCATCTCTACTGTATTTTGCAAATTTTTTTTTCTCAAGATTGCATTTTGTAAAAGCCGAAACTTTGCGAACCTATCCTAGATCTCGCTCATAGTACTCTTCTGACATATCTCACTCGTAAAGATCGATAGACATAAAAAAAAAAAAAAAAAAAGGAAGTAGTCCTCTTTTATTTTTTTATTTTTATTTTTTTATCTGTTGATTAGGGCCGGAGGAAAGTATTATTGGGTTGGTATCCCTACCTGCGTTTTCCCTCCCACCCACCCCTTTGTCTGCATTTCCGGGTTGGTACAGTGCCACGTCAGCAGTGCCACGTCAGACACAGTGCCACGTCAGACACAGTACCACGTCAAACACAGTGCCACGTCAGCAGTGCCACGTCAGACAGTGCCATGTCAGTAGTGCCACGTCAGACACAATGCCACGTCAGCAGTGCCACGTCGGACAAAGTGCCACGTCAGCATTGCCACATCAGCAAGATGACAGGCCTGCCAGACCAGCTGGCCAATGAGTCTCTTGCCGGCTACAAAAAGCGGTTCCATGCTCAGCTCGCACTCATCGAGGCTGAGGAACAATGCCAGCTGGCAGCCGAGGCTGCCCGCCAACAGGCTGAAGCAGCGGCAACCACAGAGAAGTTGTGGCTACAGGCCGAAGCAGACGCAGATACCCAGGCACGCCGCAAGGAAGCCCATTATCTGTTGCAGCGGCATGAGGCAGCAAGCATCGAGAAACTCAAGTTCTGGGTCTTTGAACCCAACGGCGATGCGGCGACACCGGAAGAGCAACACAAGGAGTTCCTCTCCAAACTCGTGACACGGATGTTGTATGCATGCAACTACCAACGGTCCAGGCTAGAGAAACAGCACCAGGAGTTGGCGAGGCTCCGCCGGACAGTGCAGAGCCACGAGGATGCAACACGGGCACTCAATGCCCGTGTGCTGGACCTGGAACAGGTTGTGCCAGGACCAGATGCTGGTGTTTCCAGCAGTGCACCCTCCAACCTCCAACTGGAGGAACGCGTCGATCATGTAGTGGCAATGCTAGGTGGCATCAGCACCTTCGCAGCGCCAGCCACCATCAGCCAGCAGCTGGACACACTGAAGACCGAGATCAGGCAGCGACAACAGCCATCTGACCCCGATCGCAGCACCAGCACAGCGAAGCATTACAAGATGCCGACGTTCCAGATCGAGAAGTTCGATGATTACACACATAAGGACCCGGTCGTCTGGTGGCAAGGTTTTACGACAGAATTGGGGATTCATGAGGTCCCCAAACATCTGTTCATCGGCGCACTGTTCCTTAACGCCAAGGGAGGATGCCAAATCTGGCTCAGCCATATGGCAACCGTCCACGGCGTCGAGGTCTTCGACCTACACACAAAGATCTCCTGGGAGGATCTGACAAAGGAATGGAAAAAGCGGTTCATCATGGACGACGCCCCGGCGCTCGCCATCAACCACATCTTCACGATGGCTCAAGGGAACACACCGACACGTGATTGGCTCACGGATTGGCAGAAGATTGTGGCGACGCCCGATTTAGACTTACCATTCCCACATTTGCGCCGAGAGTTCTACAATAGATCATGCGCCGCTTTGAGCCTCGCACTTGGTGATCACGAGCAGTACAGCACCTTCGCCGAAATCATCAACAAGGCAAGGGAGATCATCAAGACCAACAGGGCAGCTGCACACGAGAAGTCAACGTGGCAGCCCACCTTTGTGGAGAAGGTGAAGACTGTTCCGCGGCCGCAGCATGTCGCTGCAGTCCAAACGAATAGTGAAGAAGACCTCGCAGCCACTCCAGCATCACGTGAGGGAGATCAGGTGGCTGTTGTCCACCCAAGAAGCAACAACAAGTCCTGGAATAATGGGAAGGTGAAATCCGCATCGCAGGCTGGAAATGGACAGCCAACACCATGGGTCAAGTTCAACTTGACCGAGGCCGAGTACAAGTTCCGCGGCCGTTACGGCTGTTGCTACGTGTGCAATAGCACCAAGCACAAGACGTCCCTCTGCCAGGATCAGGGCAAGGAGGATGTGCGGCCTTGTCTCAACTCGGGAAACTGAGTTTCGCGGGAGGTGAGGCGACTTTACCTTCCACTCCGCCAGATCCGGCCGCCTTGCTAGCGGCCTCCTACACATCTGGGGAGGATGCGAATGTCGCAAGTTCTTGGTACACTTACGAGGACTATGATGTCCACTTGGTCCCACCGTTGGACCAACCGCTCCACGTGCAACAATCAACCGCATGCACGGTTTCATCACCATCGGCAACCGAGTCGGCAACTTCACCGCAATCTATCACCGGGATTCAACATCATGGTCAAGACTTGAGGAGTTCGACCCGTTGACGTTCACGGACTTCCAATGGATGTCCGTTCCCACGACCGGTCGATTGCCGAAACCGCATTGCAATGTGCTCATGGCACAATCGCGGGATTACTTGCACACTGCAGTACCAGCTCCGTTGATGGACGCCGGAGTAGAGGTTGTCGACCTTCACGCCTACATTGCGAAGATCGACCGCGAGTTCAAAACGCAACGGTACAACGACATCGACGCACCATTGATATATGTACGCATTCAGATCGGAGAGGCGACCTGCAGCGCTTTGATCGATTGCGGAGCATCTCGCAACTACATTGGTCAGGACTTCATGGTGTGCGCCGGCCTTGGCCCACGCGTCCGGAGGAAGTTCCAGCCTACGCAAGTCACGTTGGCGGACGGTCACACACACAAGTCGACCGGTGCATCGATGAAGTCCCAGTATACTTTGCCCATCCCGCAAGTGAGGCGGTATATATTGGACACCAAATTCGACATGATCTTGGGCATGTCATGGCTGCGAAGCAAGGATCACCCGGTGAACTTCTACAACCGCACCGTTTACGTTCGTGATCGGAGCGGAGTACTAGTCCCATGCATGGTGCCTCTTCCTCATCCTTCGATCAGCTGCCACGTGGTATCCGCTGCAAGCATGCGAGCTTCCATCATCAGAGACGACATCGAGGAGATGGGGGTGTGTTTTCTCCATGCCCTCTCGCCCCGAGACGCTTCATCGACGGACTCATCTTCGGATCCACGCATCATCGAGCTTCTAGATGCCTACAGCGACGTGTTTGAAGGCCCGCACGGAGTAGTACCGGATCGGCCGATCTGCCATGAGATCATCCTCGAGGACGGAGCCGTACCTCCGCGCGGTTGTATCTACCGAATGAGCGAGGAAGAGTTAAGTGTGCTTCGGGCACAACAGGACGACCTTCTGGAGAAAGGCTGGATTCGGCCTACCTCATCGCCATACGGTGCTCCTGTTCTCTTTGTCCGAAAGAAGAAAAGGACTTGCGGTTGTGCATCGATTATCGCAAGCTCAACGAGCAGACGATCGGGAACATCGGCCCTCTCCCACGCATCGACGATCTTCTCGAACGACTGGGCGGCGCCAAGTTCTTCTCCAAGCTAAACCTTAAGTCGGGATATCACCAACTCGAGATCCGGCAGGAGGACCGTTACAAGACCGCGTTTAAGACGCGATATGGGCATTTCGAATGGCTGGTTATACCATTTGGCCTTACGAATGCCCCGACCACTTTCCAAGCGGCTATGACARCAGAGTTYCGACACATGCTGGATCATTTTGTACTTATCTACCTCGACGACATTTTGGTGTACAGTCGGAGTTTGGACGAGCATGTGGAACACCTGCGCACCGTTTTGGAGCGGCTACGACAAGTACAAGGCAAACCGCGACAAGTGCGAGTTCGCACAGCAGGAGCTGGAGTACTTGGGACACTATGTGACGTCGAAAGGCATCCGTCCGCTTCCGGACAAGATCGAGGCCCTAAGAGTATGGCCCGAGCCCACCAACACCACGGACGTTCGTTCATTCATGGGGTTGGCGGGCTACTMTCAGCRATTCATCACCGGATACTCCAGGATTGTTGCACCTATGACGAGGTTACAGTCGCCAAAGGTKCCATTCGTATTCGATGACGACGCACGCCGGTCATTCCAAGCACTCAAGACGGCCATGCTCATGGCACCTGTCCTCAGCATCTATGACCCCGTACTGCCAACGAGAGYGACTACRKACGCTTYCGRCTATGGCATTGGGGCAGTCTTGGAACAACACGACGGCGACGACTGGCACCCTGTGGAGTATTTCAGCCACAAAGTGCCTCCCATCAACTCGCTTGATGATGCAAGGAAGA